ACTTCTGTGGTCAATGCTGCACTGTTCACAATAGCCAAAATTTGGGGGGAAAAAAACCAGAGTTCCCGAGAACAGATGACTGGCTAAAGAAATTTTGGTACATCTACACAATGGAATACTATGCAGCGATTAGAAAATATGAAGTCATTAAATTTACATACAAGTGGTTCTACATGGAAAGCATTATGCTAAGTAATATGAGTCAGAAAGAGAGGGACAGACATAGAAAGACTGCACTCATCTGGGGAATATAAAGTAAAAGAATGGGAGATGAACACCCAAGAATAGTTGAGATAAGTACCAGGAGGTGTCTACTCCATGGCTTGGAAGCTGGCAGCACATGCTGGGGGAAAATGCAGCTCAGATACAAAAGAGAACATCAAGTAAAGGGTGTTTGGATGACTCACTCGGGATGCAAGACACACGCTGAAAGTAGACTATAGACCGAACATGATAGTCACTCAATACCTCTATTGCAAACCACAACACCCTAAAGGAAAGAAAGAGCAAATGGGAATGCCCTGCTATAGAGGTGAGGCGAGGTGGGGGGATGGCTACTGGGGTCATTGGTGGTGGAGAATGGGCATTGGTGGAGGGATGGGTACTTGATCATTGTATAATTGAAACCCCAAAAACAAAAATATGTAAGTCTACAACTGTACCTCATGGTGTTTCACTAATAAAAAAGTAAAAAAATACACTTAAAAAATTTGGCATAAGGGGGTCAGGGGCTTCAGGGGCTAAAGCGCGTGCCATGCATGCATCAGCAGGTCACTCCATGATACACACATCCTGAATGTGACCCTGGCAGCTCTGTGCTCTGTGATCTCCAGTGTCACAGCAGAGACTGTAACTGCCAGTGATCAACACAATGAAAACCAAGCTGTATGAGCACTGTGGCCAGGAGTCCCATGCCTGGTGGACACTTATGTGCATCTCACAGTGATACCCAGCAAGAACCACAGTGAATCAGTGTGACCACTGGGCATGGCAACATCAGCAGAAGGAAAGGAAGGGAAGCGGGGAAAACGTTGATGTGATTGGTGGGTGAAGCACCCACAAACACGAGAGGGAGAAAGTTCCAGTCCCACAAGGGTCAAAGGCTACCTGCAGCAATTAAGTGACGGGCTCACTCCCAGGCTATGAGAAAACAGCTGAGACTATGTGACTTTCAAAGTCCAAAGCTACATCAAGTTAATTACTGATCGCCTGAAAAACTTCCAAGCTGAAGACAAAAAGCTTCTTTCCATAACAGGGAAGACACTATTTACTTTGCATATGGGTTTAAAGTTCAATCCTCATTGCACTATCCTTGGATTATTTGGGGATCTCTTAATTCTAAATTTCTACTGGGTTTTATTTTTAAGTTAATCCAAACAAAAAGGGCAGGCAGAACCACCTTAGAGTTTGTGTGCAGAAATAAACTGCAGATGGCAAGATGCGTCTTTAGGTTTACTTTAGATCAGCTGGAACAAGTGCCACTTCTCCAGTCTGCATTGCGTTTGGGCAATCCTCAGCTTCATTCTCTACCCTCAGAAGCTCCCAATTTAGTAACTTCTGACCCAAATGAGTTGCAAGAGGAGCAAGGCATTGGGATTTTTTTTTTTTTTTGGAAATTAAAAATGCCATCATGTGCTATGCAATTAGCTTTCACTTTTTCATTGTTCACAATTTCAGGTATTGATTTGTCCTTGTAAAACAGCTCTGTCCACAGTCAGATAGTATAACTAGTAAAGAACTTGCAGCCACCCCTAGATCGAATCCGCAGCACCACCACATACGGTCCTCACAGCAGTGCCAGGGGTCACCCCTGAGCACTGAGCTGGGAACTGCTCTTGAGCATTTTTGGGTGTGGCCTCACCCCCAGCCCTGTCAAGATTCTGTCTAGTTGGGGGAAACAGTGTGCTTAGGGCAGAGACAGGTGTGGAGCGGTGCCCTCAGTGGGAGGCGGATTTTAAGGCAAAAACAAAAACAACAAAAAAACAGGACCTTCTGAAGAGACAGCTGACGCCTTGGTAATACAGCGATGCCCACACTCTATTTACTATTGCCTGCCACCCGAGTTTCAGCTCTGCCCTGCTCCCTGTGAGGACACACATCTCACCTGCAAAATCACTCTAGCACTGTTGTTTTAGCAGTCATTCATCTGATGTTTTAGTCAGGAGGAAGCCTTGAACACAGTAGCTGTGGTTCAGAGACTCTCCCCCCCCCCCAAGAAAAAAAAACAGAAATAAAGTAGAAATTCCTATGTAAACTTTGTGTACTTTTATTACCAATAACATACGGTAGACTGTCAATTAAAATGAGTTTCTAAATTGTGTGTGTACACGTATGTATAGTGACATGCCAACTAGATGAAAATGATAAATTATCCCATTAATCACTTGATCACTTGACATCCTCTTACTCATCGATTTGCTTGAGCGCCCGGGCGCCAGTAACATCTCCATTCATCCCCGTTGCATGCTAGTGTAGCCCAATGGCATCTGCTCGCTCCAGGAACACAAAGAGCCTCAAACTGATCATTCAGGGTCTTGACAAAGAAGTCTGACCATCTCGTAGGTGGGCAGCCACGCGATCTTTTGACATCCCATGGAATCCAGTCAGTCACGGCTCTAGTCCAGCGGTCATCTCCAAATTGCATTATGTGTCCAGCCCATCTGATTTTCGACGCGTTGGCAAACAAGACAGCATCCCTGATTCTCGATCATCGACGGAAGTCAGAACCCCATATTCTTTCTCTCACTTGAGTGAAGCATATACTCCAAACATAGCTCTTTCGATTCCTCTTTGGGTGACCCGAATAACTTGCTCATCCTGTTTTCATAGGGCCCAGGTCTCTCAGGAGTATGTTAATGCAGGAAGAACAGTGGAATCAAAGAGATGTGCCCGGAGCCGGAGGTTCTTCGTCCTCTTAGCTATTTCTTCCACGTTCTTGAAGGCGTTCCAAGCCACTCTCTTCCTCCTGTGCAGCTCGGGTGCCAGGTCATTCATCATGTTGACTTCTCAACCTAGGTACACATAACTGTTGCATTCGGAGATGTTCGTTCCATTGAGAGCGAATGGAGCGTCAGGAACGAGACTGTTTCTCATAAACATTGTCTTCGTAAGATTCAGCTGCAGTCCGACCTTTCCACACTCACGGTTGAAGTCGGCCAGCAGTTGTGCCGCTTGGCTACTGTTTGGTGTTATTAGAATGATGTCATCAGCGAAGCAAAGGTGGTGTAGTTGCCAACCATCTATCTTCACTCCCATTTCTTCCCATTCCAGTCGTCGCATGACATTCTTGAGGGTGGCACTGAAGAGTTTTGGTGAAATGGTATCACCCTGCCAAACCCCTCTCTTTATGTCAATGATCACTTCCTTGTAGAATGGTGAGATCCTGGTAGGGAATCTGTAGTACAGCTCACGGAGGATCCTGATGTATTGAATTTGAATGTCCTGTTTGGCTAGGGCTTCGATGACCACTTCAGTCTCAAGAGAATCAAAGGCTTTCTTTAAATTTAAAGAAAATTTAAATTTAAAGAAGGCCTTTGATCTCATTAATAATTTTTTTAAAAATTAGTTTGTGCTTGCAACTATACTTCTCATTTACAAATTAGGGACAAAAATCACCATCTGCTGGGAATATGCTTCAATAAGCTAAAATATTTCATGGCTAACTTCTGTTTCTTAGCTTGTAGCAAAAGTCTCCATAGAGTTTTAATGTGTTTAAAGCTGGGCATTTTAACTCAATATTATTTTCTGTGTTTTTTCTAAAAATGGAAAAAACAAAAAAACAAATGGTAGCGAGGAGTGTTTGTTGTTGTTTTTTTTTAACTGTGGCAAAATATACATACATACCCATTCTACTAATTTCATTTGTATCTTGGTGCCATACACAGAGGTGCTCAGGGCTTCCTCCTGGCTGTGCTCAGGGGTCACCCCTGGTGAAGATTGGGGTACCATACAGGTTGCCAGAGATGAATCCAGGTAAGCCTTGTGCAAGGCAAGTGCCCTCCCAACTGTCCTTTTTCCAGTCCCTTAATGACTCTTAAGTCTAGAGAGTGGCATTTTTTAAGTACAATGATGCAGATATCCAAGTGTCACCCCCATCCTTCTCCAGAACATTTGTAATAACCCAAATAGAAACTCCACACCTGTGAAATACCAACTCCCCATTCACAGGGGACCCACAAACCCTGGAAAGCACAACTCATTTTTGTCTCTATGAACACAATTCCTTTCTGTGGCACTTATAGGTAGAATCATCTGTCCCTGGGGGTGTTTGGCTTATTTAACTAAATAACACCCCTCTTTATATATATTACACATTTTATTATTCATCTGCAGAGATCCTTAGATTATTTCCTCTTTTCGGCTACTATGACTAATGCTGCTAAGAACATGAATATACAAGTATCTGTTAAAGTTCCTGCTTTCAATTCTTTTTGCTTTTTGGGGGGGGAGGAGGAGTGAGAATAGGGTGGTTGGGACAAAGCAGTGTTCATGGTTCATTCCTGGATCTGTGCTGGTGGTAGCCACGACTAGAGGGGGAAAATTATATATATATATATATATATATATATATATATGTATGTATATATAAAATAGGAGCATTTGTCAGATGAAATAACGGAACACTTAAAGGATTAGAGTCCAGTGAAAAAATAAGTATCTGGAGCAGGCTAGAATTCAAATAATCCTAGAATAAGGAGTCACAGAATGTCTAACCACAAAAGCAAAAGGCGGGACCAGAGTGACAGAACAACAGACAGAGCACTTGCCCTCACATAGCCGGCCAGAGTTCAATCCCTGACACCCCATATGCGCCTCGGAGCCTGGCCAGGCTTGCTTCCTGAGCACAGAGACAGGAGTAAGCCCTGAGCACCACTGAGTGTGGTTCCCCCACCCACCAAAACAAAAAACGAGCAAAATGATATCAATTTCTTCAACATACAAAAATGTACAATTTCTCCAGTTCACTGTAGTATGTGTCATGACACTTTATTGACACTTTAAATAAAAAAAATTATTGTTCCAGGCTAAAATATATACAGCAATATAAATTTAAGGAAACAAATCAGTATTTTTCTGATCAACTCCATCAACTTCAAAACGAACGAATTACCATGACGATCTTTCACAGTTATTTCAAAATTATTCACATAAGATTTTTATTAGTCTGGCCACAACAAGCACATTGAGACTATTTCCAAGTAGACGGTAACGCTGTTTCACTGCTACCTTCTCGGGAAATCCTAGAACAAAAGACACAACAATTTATAATGTGATCCTCTGTTATGTTCACTGCCAGACATAGTATCACTTATTCTAATTCTAGTAAGAGCACCATGCTTATTTATATAAATAGATCCATAAGGTCACCAAGAAATAAAATTAATGAATAAAAAACTGGACTAAAATATATTACAGAGCATTGCCTTGCCTACAGTGCGACCATGGCGTGCCATATTCTATATGATGCCTGGCATATACCCATACATTAGCATCCACAAGCTGATAAAATCTGTCACCGAGTGAACTTCAGGAAAGCAGAAAAACCATTCCTTCACAGTGGCTTCTATTATTTAGTAACAGCTTAATAGAGATAAAATTCACACTGTGTAAACTTTTCCCTCTTATAGCACACAGGCCAGTGGTTTTCAATAGAGTCAGTTTTGCATCCACTGCTGCGAAGTCCAGAATATCTTCATCAGCTCCAAAAGAATGCCAGTACTAGGGGCTGGAGCAATAGTACAGCGGGTAGGGCGTTTGCCTTGCACGCAGCCAACCCGGGTTTGATTCCCAGCATCCCATATTGTCCCTTGAGCACCGCTGGCAGTAATTCCTGAGTGCAAAGCCAGGAACAACTCCTAAGCATTGCCGGGTCTGATCCAAAAAGCAAAAAAAGCCAGTACTAGCAGCAGTCAATCCTAAACCCCACCCCACCCCCTGCCTGCTTTATTTTTCTATGGATTTGCCCATTCTTAGTAGTTAGTATTAATAGGCCATTTAACACGTGGCCTTTTTTTTTTTTTTTAAGTTTTTGGGTCACACTCAACAGCTTAAGGGTTACTCCTGGAGCTGTGCTCAGGGATCACTCCTGGCGGGAGCAGAGGACTATATGGGATGTTGGGGCTAGAACCTGGGTCAGTTATACGCAAGGTCAGCATATGACTGCCCTGCCCATCGTGCACTCGCTCCAGCCACGTTTGTGGTCTTTTTCGTTTTTCGCTAGTGTGTTTTTAAGAGTCATTAATATCAGAGCACACGCCGATACTCCATTCCTTTTTTACAGCTACATAATATATTATTACATGGCCACACCACTTTTTATTTATGCATTCATACAAACATGTGCGTTATTTTTATTTTTTGATTCTTAGGAGTGATGCCATTATGAAGGGCATGTGTGTTTTTGTACAGATAAACATTTTCAGTTCTTTTAGATATGTCTGTCAGGGTGAAACTGCTGTATCACACAGTAAGTCTCTGTTAACAGCTGAGGAACTGACCCACTTGTTTCCTGCACAGCTGCCCCATCTTAGAATTATAACAACCAGCTACAGCTTACCTTTTCTTACTGGAATTTTTACATACATTTTCCCAGTAACTAATGTTACTCAACATCATTTCATGTGCTTGTTGGTTGTCTGTTTCTCTTCTTTGTTGAAATTTCTGTTCAGATCCTTGGCCCACCATTGTAATGTCCACCAGGCTTTATGTCCCATTCATCGCTATATTCTAAGAGCCCTGTATAACCTTGACACAAATCCCTCGCAATGGGTCTATATACCGTTTCAACAAATTAACCTTCTCATGTTGAACTTCTAATTGCTGCCTTCTTTCTTAGAAGCCAAATGGAGGGCTAGAGAGATAAGTCAATAGATGAGCAGGTGCTTTGCATGCAGAAGGCCCAGGCCTGATCCCTGGACCACGTGGTTCTCTAAGCCTCACAGCGTACTCCGAACCCCTGGGCACTGCCAGGCATGGCCCCCAAACAAAAACAAAAACAGAAATGATAAATAAATAGAAGCCAAATGGGATCTGGGGATCTAGCTCTGGGAGAGACATGCTGCATGTATGTATGTGTGAGGCTTGAGATTTGCTCCCTGGCACCGCAAAAAGTAAATAAAAGCAAAATGATTCAAGGAATCTATATATTCCCGGAATAAAGCCTTGCAAACTACCAAAATAAAAGAGTTCCCACACATTAGAATATACACTACTATACTATTTACAATATTGGAATGTCATATTCAGTAACCTTTATGTATCAATTAAATACAGGAAAGGCATATGAGATGAAAAAAATGAAGGAAAACATTAAAGCACTAAGAGCAAAATTTCATATACTTGTAAGACCCAGAAGATAATTTATAACAAAATGCTTCATCAACACTTGACATTATACTTACTGCTATAAAATACTGGTGATTTCCATAATACAACTTATTTGCAATTAAGCAGGATCATAAAATTATTATTATAAAGATAACGTCTTAGGCAAGCACATTATTAATCTCAAAAATGACTTAGTTTAAAGTAATCAGAGGTACAAATATGTCTACAAACAGACTTTAGAATACACAGGGAGATTTTCAATATTAATATGATAGCAAGGGGAAAAATTTTAAAGGGCTATATTTGTAAAAGTTATATATGTGTGTATTATATACACACAGAGAAATCTTGCTTATAAAAAATACATTAATTTTTTGGGGGCTTGGGACTCCTCCCAGCAGTACTCAGGATTTGTTCGTGCTTCTGTGTACAAGGAGTCATATATGGAACCAGGAACTCAACTGGGGTTGGCCACATGCAAGGCAAGCACCTGACCTTGTACTAGCTCTCCAGCCCATGAACTTTTAAGTTAAAAAAAACAACTTTGTTTTTTAACTTGGGGATATTAAAACCAATGACGTCCTCAAAAACAAAGACACAGAATGAACAATGAGCGGCATATATTTAGAAAATAGAGGGGAGTCTCCCCTCCTTCAAATCCTGCTCGCTGATGACTGCACGTCATTCGCTATGACAACCAGGCCCAAACATTCCGAAGGGGTAATGCAGATCCATCATTGCCTATCGACAAGCAGCTCCGACAAGGGCCCAGTTGGGCCCAGAGTCAACAAGGAGAGAAATGCTGGGAAGGATTGTGCTTGTAGGTCTGCTCAGGGTAGAGAGAGCAGGCCTGACTATAAGAACGCAGTCTTTGGGGCCGCAATGAGGGTACAGTGGGGAGGGCATTTTCTTTGAACATGCCTGGCCCAGGTTCGAACCCCAGCATCCTATAAGATCTCTTAAGCACTGCCAGTAGTTACTGCCGAGCATCGCCAGGTGTGGCCCATCCCCCTCAAAAATAAAGAAGGCATCATATTAGTTACAGAGTCACTCAAAAGGCTATTTTGTGTGCACTATATGTCTTCAGAAAGCTTTCAAAAATTCTGTATCTTACAAAAAAATTTTATTTATTTTTTGCTTTATGGGTCACACCTGGCAATGCTCAGGGGTTACTTCTGGATCTACACTCAGGAATTACTCCTGGCGGTGACTCAGGGAACCATATGGGATGCTTAGGGATTGAACCCGGGTTGGCTGCGTGCAAAGCAAACGCCATACTCACTGTGCTATCGCTCCAGCCCCCACGAAAATTTTTTAAATGAGACAAAACATTCATGATCATAATGTAAGTAAATGTCTCACATTCAAAAATAAAAGTTAAATTTTATATTTTTCTTCCATCGTTGTGAGAGCATTACACTGCTTCATCATAGCAGTCCCCTGAAACTAGTGTTCTAATTAATAAAGCTCATTGCACAGGTGCACAAATTAAGGCAGAGAGCGGTTATGGTAGTCAGGACTGGAACTCAGCTCCAATGCCCTGGAGTCCATGCTAAGTTTCAGTACTATCAAAGGACTATTAGTCTTTGAAAACTGAGAATTAGACTAATACTCAAAAATTTGCTTTTATTAAATAGTTCGTCTCTTTTAAATAGTCATCTCTTTTCTGTCTCTAAAACTTTAAGAACTGATACCACTCATTCAAAAAATAAAAAATAAAAAAGTGACTAGGAAAGCGAAGTGGGAATTAAATCTTTGCGTTCAATTCTCAGCTCTGTTTCTGGATGTTTTCACTCACTTTTTACATCAACAAAGACAAGGAAAGTCTCTGTTTTGCTTAAATAACACTCCCCAGGATATTTGTGACTGAATGAGATCACTAAGAAAAAAAGCAGAAAGTACAAAATAAACCTGGCTGCCATGGTGACAAGAGAACCCATTACCAAGTCAAATAATCCGGGCAGCTTCAGTTCTCCAAGTTCCAAACCTCATTATAAATCTATTAGTTAGAACTTGAATCCAGATCATTCTGGCCAGCTGTGAGTTTGAAGAAACGCTTTATCCTGACAGTTCTGGATTTAGCCAGTGACCTTTCGGCACTCCTAGCCCAAGTTACCAAGACATTCCTGTTACACAGGGGTTTTTTTCTTTCCTCCCGCTTTCCAAGCCAGCCAGAAACTGGAGGACAGCAAGAAGGAAGGGACAGCACCCCCACACAAGGCTGGGCCTAGGAGTGGGGAGCCAGGAGCCAGCAGCCCCGAGAAGCCCAGACAGTGCATGCAAGCTCTGCACAAACAGCACCAAGGGCCAAGTCTGCTGCCTGGGATCACGCCTTCCCCATCTGCACTGAAGTTTCAGCTTCTTTCTAGATTTCCTGCTTCGATTTATCGATTGGACCACCCGTTCTCCTGAATCACCCTTTCTCAACTCTAAGAAAGCTCCTCAAAGCTCCGCGGCACCTTCTCTTGTGCCCCTTAAACCTTCAAGGGTTTAAAGATGCAAGACTGATGAGAAATATCTTTGAGGAGAAAATAACTACAAATACAACCCATAATTACACAAAGTCTTCAACGGCTTGTCAATTTCTTTGTGGAGAGGGAGAAAATGAAAGAGCCACAACATTAGACATCCTTTCACAAGAGAGAAAGTGTGTGTGGTGTGAACCTGTGAACAAAAAAAAGCTGAGAAAGCACTGTTCATAAATACCAACAGTGGGCAGAGGGGGCACGGCGGGTTTGGCCCTCTGACCCAGCACACTGCTTTGAGACCATTAGCAGAGTATATGGAGCTGAGAACTGAGTGGAAGAGAAAGGTCTGCAGCTGATTGTGAGTAAAAGGGAGAAGAAGAAAGGAAAATGCCCCAAATGGCAGAGTCAGAAAAGGAAGTGGTTTCTGATATCCATCTGCCAGGCAAGGACTTATTTATAAAATGCACTTGAGTTCCCCAGTGAATTCTGAAGTCTTTAAGAAACGAAAGTTGGAGCCTGTGTGTTCATCACATACCAAACTTGGGGGGGAATCCAAGGAGATTTGCTATTTCCTTAGGAGTGAAATAACGAAGTTTAAGCATCAACAATTTTGCTGTCTTTTCCTCTTGGGACAAACTGGTAAGGGATTTGTAGATCTCTTCAATCTGTAAGAAAAAATTCAAGATAACAGATGAAGTAGAGGGCAACTACATGTGTTCAGATAAGATTATGGATTGTATGATAGCATAAAAACTAAATATAGTCTCACATAAGACAAGGCAGCAAAAGGCACAGGGCAGAAGGTCTGTAATGAACTAGATAATGGACTTAGCTATGGCAGTGAAAATAAGCTACAATTTAATGTTCCACAGATCATAAAACTTTCAGTATATCTGTCATTTTGATCCCTCAAAAATTAAATTTTACAAACATAACAAGTGACACTAACATAAAAGATACAAATACAGTAAAAGATTTTTAAAAAGAAAGAAAATTTCATTGGTCAACTAATGAATGCTAACATGTAAATCAATAAAATGTTTACTGTTTAATATCAGTTTCATCAAATTAAGGTATTGTCTTAAAATCATAAAATATTTAGTAAAAAATATTTCTCACATATACATATAAAAATATCTGATAAGATTTTTATTCTGGGTATCTGTCACTGTCACTGTCCTCCCATTGTTCATCGATTTGCTCGAGCGGGCCCAGTAACATCTCCATTGTGACAATTGTTACTGTGTTTGACATATCAAATACACCCCGGGGAGCTTGCCAGGCTTTACCGTGCAGGCGAGATACTCTCGGTAGCTTGCCGGGTTCTCCGAGAGGGGCGGAGGAATCGAACTCGGGTCGGCCATGTTTGCCGCTTGTAAGGTAATACCTCTTATTAATAGTAAAATCAGTTTAAGTTGGTTTCAAGAAACGGTTTAAGTCAATATAAAAGAATATAATATTATGTCACTTCAAGGTCATTGGAAAACAATGTAGAACATAATAAAACAAGCCTATAGTCAACTATGATACCATGAAGAAGTACTTTTCTTAAAAACTCTCAATCAGGGGCTGGAGCATTAGCACAGCGGGCAGGGCGTCTGCCTTGCACTCGGCCAACCCGGATTCAATTCCCAGCATCCCATATGCTCCCCTGAGCACCGCCAGGCGTAATTCCTGAGTGTAAAACCAGGAGTAACCTCTGTGCATTGCCAGGTGTGACCAAAAAAGGGGGGGAAAACCTCTCAGTCAAATCTGGATGGCTCACTGACCTGTGGTACTTCACACCTGCAAACATCAGACCACTTGTTTGCAGCCCTTGACCTGCCCATGGCTATGCTACTACTGCCATGAAATGAAACCGTGCTTGACTACTTGCAATATTACCCATAAAGGTGCAGGAACTAAGAGAAAATGGAAAACATATATGGGGGAAATTTATGGAGAAATTACTTCAACCTAATAAAGAAGGATCCTAAATATAGCCTACCAGTTTTTCTTGAGTCAGAAAAATATTTAGTCAATGCACACACTCTCTCCCATTTGTAGGATTTTTTTAACAGCATTCTAAAAATAATGCTTTGAGGATTAAAATACTTAATGGAATACCTATACCTTATACAGTCATAAAATGCCTTAGTATTTTAAGCCCAAGATAAAACATTAACAGAGTCTTACTAGAAAATATTTTTCTCTACAGGCTAATTTTATAGTATGTGATCCAAAGCAAGATACCAATATTATGATTTCTACATGTGCTATGTTTTGATATGTGATTTATGTAATAAAAATATAAAAGGTGGGGGCTCAAGATTGTACAGCGGGCAGGGCACTAGCCTTCCATGTGGCTGATCTGGGTTCTATCCCCAGCACTTTATATGGTTCTCTAAGCCACACCAGTGGTGGTCCCCGAGCACAGAGCCAGGAGTAAGCCCTGAGCACCGCTAGGTGTGCAGCCCCAAGAATAAGACAGGAGTTAAAAAACATAAAGCATTTTTTGTACATAAATTCATATCCAGCATATATGAAAATGACTTATGCACCATATTCAAGTATTCTGTATATGAATGTGTAAAAAAATTATATTCTCAGTTGAACACATAAAATTATCTTAACGTCTCAAATTTTAGCTATTAAATATAATTGGATTGAAAAGAATTTTCAGATATTTCCTATTTTAAAGCACGCACAGTACCTGTACATCTTCTGCAGTTTGTAACACAGATCCTGTCCCTTCAACATATCGTCCATAACTGAAATATTAACACAAATGTTATGTAGCACTTCAGGTACTTTATGCTAACCTTTAAACGTATTCTTGAAAGACTAATCCATGTATAGTTAATTCTGAAATATTCTCAATAGCACATAAATAGGCTTCATAATTAAAAAATTACTACATGAAAGATAAATGATCATTCTATTTAAGCTTCTCACATCATGAAACGTGGCATGGTTTTTAAGCTGTATGAATATATTTTGAATTATGCATTACTGCGTGTCATTTCTTTGCACTGTCACTTTTTAATGCTCATGACTGAAAAGTAGACACAACTTTATACCTGAATACTACCTGAATACCATTCAGTATAGTGATCTTCCTACCATATTAAGCCAAATGTTAGGAAGGTAAGAATAAATTGCTTCTTTTTGAAAAAAATATTGCCAAAATCATCATTCACCTCATGACCTCCAAATCCTATTTTCTGGAACCATGAAAAGAAGATGAAAATATGCCTGCAACTTACTGCAACATTGTATATATTTTTTCATGTAAAAATAAGACCATTGTATAAAATACTGTATTAAAAGTATAACTCTATACAAGCATAGCATATTAGTAATATTTCTCTAAAACCATTTCCAAACTGGCTGTTGAACATATTGACTTTTTTTCTAATACATCAATTTAAAGATTAAGTCATGTCATTAAAAAATATTTTTCACATTGTCTTCTCACATATCATGTCTGTGGATGTTTACATTTTATCGATGTAGAACTAGGACTTTTATAGTCACACTCCTTTCATGCCATCTTATAATTACCGAGAACTTCAAGGTTGGTTTTTATTACAAAGCTGGTAAGTCATATTTTGTGAGAGTTCGAAACAGAATCTATCAAACTAGCCAAGAGGCCATAACTGAGACTTTTAAGAGTATGGAGTGCAATAAACTTGCTACCCTGGAAATACAAGCGCAAAGTGTGAAGAACTCAGAATGAGACTGGATGATTGTGTAAGGAACAGGGTGCCTTAAGCAAGAGAGCTAGACAACAGGTAAAGAAAGAAAGTTGTCATTTTCTCATACAAATGACATGGCAAATGTGGTTGAATGACTTTTAACTAAGCAGAGAGGGATTTTTTACAAAATTTCCTAGAAAGATCTATTTTCACTCTGATTTCTAGGTTTAAACCAGTTTGATGAAAAGCACATTTCAGAAACAACCCAGGGGAAGTTGTTAATGCTGATCAACAGGTAACCAGTAAAGTATATTTTGGTATACCTATAAACACAATATGCTATAAGAATAGAAAAGTTCTGCTTATATTCATATGCAACAATATCCAATTCTATACTGTGCAGTTATAAACAAAAGTCAAAGGATGAAAAAGCCCATATCATGAATCCATGAATAGAGTATCAATACTTGCATAAATATACATGGAGAATGTTTGTTTACTATTTACTAAAAGGGAGGAAAATACTGTGAGAACAAAATCTTCCTATCAAAAATACGTGGGTTATGTGAGAACACCTTCATATTAAATACAGCTGGAAGATTAGACAATAAATCAAAATAACTGGGTGTATGTAAGAAAGAAAACTGGATGGTCAAAAGACTGGAGTGGAAGGAAGCCCAATGTACTTAGTTCCTCCCAACATTGAACCACAAGCATTTCCAGCTTGTTTTTAAGCTGGGAAATGGGCCCCAACATGCTCTGAGGATTCCGTTTTACTTCTTCAAGCTAGGGAGATTGGTACCACACTCAGCACGCTCCAGACTCAAACCAGGGATGGAACTGTGTGGTGCCAGGGACCCAGACCTGTGGGCCTGGCAAGGAAAGCCTCTTACCCTAAACCATCTTGGCAGCCGCTTCTCTATATCAGAATTCCATTTTCTTCTGAGACGCTGAACATTAGAGCATAACATAAATGTTTGAGAGGTGATGAGCCATAGAAAGCAAGGTGTCAAAAATTCAGCCAAGGGGTGGGAGTGAGTATACAGTGGGTAGGGCACTTGCCTTGCACATGGCTGACCCGGGTTAGATTCCTGGTATCCCATCAGGTGCTCCTTGCACCACCAGGAGTAATTACTGAGTGCACAGCCAGGAATAAGCCCAGAGCATGGCCGATGTGGCCCCCTCCAAAGAAAAAAAACAAACGAATGAAAAATTGAGCCGACCAGGGTTCCATCGCAAAGACTGCACACAATTCCCCCAGCACTGCCAGCAGTGATACCTGGGTGCAAGGCCAGGAGTAAGCCCTGAGCAAAGCTGGGTGTGGCCCAAAAGCAAAAATAAAAACAAAGCTTTAAAAAATAAAAACGGAGCCATTTGCCATCTAGAAACTATGTTATCACCATGAGTTGTTATGGCCCTATGAAGGTCAGCAAACAAATGGCCCCATCTCCTGTGACACTGCTGTAGGCAGTGAACAGCACACAGGTTGCCCTGCCAGAAGGAATTCCCCTCATGCGTTCTGTCAGAACCCGAGCAGGCAACTGACAAAGGGTAGTAGAAAACCATTCTACTAGCAATATTTTATTACAAAAAAAAATTCTAGATTTAAAAAGAACTAATAGAAACAACAGTCATGCAAACCTGGCTGTTCGGGGTAAAGCATGACGAGTCTCTTTCAAACCTCACCCTTTGGTAAAGCATGTGGACCTTCTGCAGGTGGGCTTCACGATGTCCAGCAAAAGAGCGTATCGCAGCAAGGACTCGGGAGGCAGGAAGTAGGGAGTCATGTCAGCGTCCTCCTCAAGAAAACCCTCCAGCATCTGCACCGAGAGGTCATGGTCCTGCTGACGCTTCCGCTCCAGCTCTCCAGCAGTCTCCAGCTTAAAAAGAAAGGGCCCCTTTCCCGAAGGCTGAGTGCTGCTCTCAGAGTCCGGCATGGGCCCTGTGTCCTTTTCTTCAGTTTTCTCTTCTGCATCCATGGCAGATTTTTGTGGCTGCCGCTGCTCTGATTCAGTCTGAGGAAATTCCATCAATATCTGGCATTAAGCAAAAAATACATAAGTCATCCAAAATGCGATTAAAAATAAAACACTGAACACACCAGGAGAGTGTAACACAGCATGAGGCATATATATTTGTAATATTAGTCAGCACGATGCAAACCCTCCCTGCAACTCAGCCTTTACAGAGTTATCATTAAAAATACACAGTCAGGGGCCTAGAGATGCTAGCTCAGCAGAACTCATTTGTTCCAGTTTCTGCCTGTAAAGCCTTACACACACTCACACACACAAACACACACACACACACACACACACACAGAGAGAGGCAGAGACAGAGAGAGACAGAGAGACAAAGTCATATAAATTACGGTTTTCTTGCAACAAAAGCTGTTACAGATAGATATCATGTCCACAACAGATGATTCATTTCATGGAACCATCACTGTCTGTATGAATTAAAACATTCAGAAGGGTCAGGATGTAGTGCAGCACTATAGTACTTGCCCTCCATGTGTGAATCCTTGACTTTGCTGGCAACACGTACTCTCTCTCTCTCTCTCTCTCTCTCTCTCTCTCTCTCTCTCTCTCTCTCATTCTCTCACTCTCTTCAACATAGACACAGGAAGTAAGCTGAATATAGATAGTATTATATATAGGAAAGACTATTAGAAAGAATATCGGAAAGCAACAGTAAATTTTCCAGAAAATGCTTTGGCTCAGAGTTTACTCTATCCCTCATTAAAAAGCAAAACAAAACGACAAAACAGGAACATGCACTGTGACCTAATAAAACCCTAGAAATTAAAAAAATAAAAGAGCATTTTTTACTCGAAAGGGTTATCACTACTCCTGAGTGTCACAGGGAAAAAAATCGGTTGCAAAACGTGAGTAAAATCCTCAGGTAAAAAAAAATCGTTTTCAAGAATTTTTCAGGATCATTGTTTTTAGTTTCTTTAAATCAATGAACATTAGACAGAGCGGCATCTTGAACTACCGAGAAACCTCAATGAGCTTGGTCACTGTGTAGATATGGTCGATTGTACTGAATCCTTTTCAGAACCTGGCTTGCTCGCATGGTTGTCCTTCATCTAGTGTTCTGCCAATCCTATTCAGGATGACTCGAGTGAACAGCTTGTAGACGATGGACAACAGGCAGATTGGGTGATAGTTGCCAATGTCGTGGATGTCTCCTTTCTTATACAGTAGAACGGTCCTGCTGGTTTTCCACTGGGACAGAACCTTGCATTCAGACATGTTGTGTGTGATGAGCCAAACCAGTGTACTGATGAGTACTGATGGCAGATTCTTCAGGTGTTTGGGTCTGACCTTGTCTGGGCTGGGTGCTGTTCACTGCTTTGCCAACAAAATGGCATGTTGGATTCTGGAAGGGAGAACGTTGGGAACGACATATCCATACTGAGGAATTTAGGATGTGGGCAGAAGGACGTGGCTATCTAAGAGATCCGAGTAGAAGTGATAAATAATCTTCTCCATTGCCCTTCTGGAAGATGTGATAGGTCCATCAGGACATCGGGGGTCAGTCATCTTGGTCTTGTAGTTGGTAAAGAACAGGTGGGCGGTGCGAATGCTTTCCCCAGTTTTTGCCGCATCGGCCAGCACTGCTGCTCTTCTCTCTTTGAGGTCTTCCTTTATCGCTTCTCTGCACTGCTTTGCGAGCTCGGACATTACCTTGTGGTTGCCTGAGGCTTGTGCCAAGCCACGTTGGCAAATGAGCTCAAGAGTTTCCGAAGACAGGCATCTTTTTGTGGCTTTCTCTCTCTTGGAGTTCCTCACACAATGATGGAGGTGCTGAACCACTCAATCATATTCCTCGTAGATGTGGTCAACAACAGCATCTTCTGATGTTGCTGCAATAGTGCTAAAGAGCTCCCAGTTGGTGGTCGGTCTGGGAGTTCTCTTCTTAAACTTTGCAGCCCTTTCTTCCCACTCCATGAAGTAGAATTTTGCATGAAGGGGACAGTGGTCTGATCCCATTTGGAATTTTGGGACAACGATATCAGTCAGGCAAAACCGTCGATTGAATATGATGTGGTCTATTTCGTTGTGGAACCGTCCACCGGGAGACTCCCATGTCCAACATTTAGATTCGGCCTTCTGGAACTGTGAGTTACCATGGATGGTTTTGGTCGACATAATGAACTCAGATAGTCTCTCACCCTGTTCGTTCCATACTAGGCCATGGGTCCTTATGTGAAATTCTTTGGGCGATCTTCTCAGTCCTATCTTGGCAAGCACAATGATCTTGTAGAAAATGTGGTCTTCTTTATAGAACTTCTGTAGCTCCATATAGAATTCCTCAATTTCTCCTTCATTGTAGTTGGATGTTGGTGCCTAGATGACAAAGATAGAAACTGCCAGGAAAGAGCCACACCTTTTCAAGCGTAAGTGTCTGATTAGGGATGTTAGGAAATTGAATGAATCAATGCTCATAGCCAAGTTCATGTTGACGAGGACACCAACACCACCAATCCCTCTATCATAGCATGTTCTGAGGAACAGTTCTTCTCCAGCCTTTGATTCTGTCGAGAATGAAATGGTCGTTGAAGCCCTAGCCAAATAGAGCGTTCAAACTCAGTACATCAGGATCCTCCGTGAGCTGTATTACGGATTCACCACCAGGATCTCATCATTCTACAAGGAAGTGATCATCGACATAAAGAGAGGGGTTTGGCAGGGTGATACCATTTCACCAAAACTCTTCAGTGCCACCCTCAAGGACGTCATGCGATGGCTGGAATGGGGAGGAATGGGAGTGAAGATAGACGGTTGGCAACTATACCACCTCCGCTTCACTGATGACATCGTTCTAATACCACCAAACATTGGCCAAGCAGCACAAATGCTAGCTGATTTCGACCATGATTGTGGAAAGGTTGGACTGTAGCTGAATCTCACCAAGACAATGTTTATGAGAAACAGACTCAATCCTGACGTTCCATTTGCTCTCAACTGAATGAACATCTACAAATGCAACAGTTATATGTACCTAGGTTGAGAAGTCAACATGACGAATGACCTGGCACCTGAGTTGCACAGGAGGAAGAGAGTGACTTGGAATGCCTTCAAGAACGTCAAAGAAATAGCTAACAGGACGAAGAACCGTTACCGACTGGATCCCATGGGACATCAAAAGAACGCATGGGTGCCCACCTATGAGATGGTCAGACTTCTTCATCAAGACCCTGAACAAACGGTTTGAGACTCTTCATGTTCCTGTAGCAAGCAGATGCCATTGGGCTACACAAGCATGTGACAGGGACGAATGGAGATGTTACTGGCGCCCACTCAAGCAAATCGATGAGTAACGGGATATCAAGTGATCAAGTGATGTTTTCAACCATGTTTTGCATGTTTTTGGAAAGGAAAACCCCACTAACAGCATATGCTACAATACTGTGGGAGGCTGCTGCTAGCAGGAATTCAGCGCTCATGAACAAGAAGTGCTCCTGGGAGTTTCCTCGGAAGGGAGGGGACCAATACCTCCAGGGAAGAACCCCACAGGAGCTCAAGGGGGAGAAGACAACAGCTCACAATGTCCCTCTGAATCTCCCCGAAACCCAGCACCATTCCTGCAGGACTGAGGGAGTGCCCACCACCAGGAAAGGGTCCAAATATGGACCCATTCATGGCCAGTGGGACTGTGCCAACCTGGAGGGCATCCTCCTTCAACCATCCTCCAGACCACCAGGCGCCAGCGCTGGGCCCTGCTGCTCTCCTGTGAAGTGTCTCTTGATTAAGCCTCTTGCTTTGTCACTACACATGACTGCTTGGGAAACCCTGCCTCGGGAGTGTGAGGCAAAGAGCCCACCTTCAGGCATGGGAGGGGTCCCCCTCTTCCTACAGAACATTACCTATGCATAGAGAGCTTGAGGGCACCGCTAAAACTCTGCTGAGACCCAGCAACACTGACAGATGCACAGGAAACTGCCTACATTCACCCTGCCCATAGCAGGGAAGCACTTGATTCTGTCATATTACTAACCACTGCTGTCTATTTAATTAACTAAATAGCACTGATTCCTCCAGAACAACACCATGATATTAAAATTTTTTTTTTTTTTTTTGCGTTTTGAGTCACACCTGCCGATGCTCAGGGGTTACTCCTGGCTCTGCATTCAAGAATTACTCATGGCAGTGCTCAGGGGGACAAAAGGGATGCTGGGAATCAACCCTGGGTGGGTGGGCCACACGCAAGGCAAATGCCCTACCTGCTGTGCTATTACTTCATCCCCTTAAAATATTCTTTAGCCACTTTAAGATTGCACATTGAATTTTGGCAGTAGCAGTCTTCACATCTACTAAGGGAAAAAGGAAGATGCAAAACAGTAAAAACAGAAGGGATATTATAAAAGAGGGTGGAGGCTTCTTTTTTTTTTTCTTTTCTATTTTTACTTTTAAATAGTTTTTCTTCCAACGATGAAAGAACAGCTTTGGAATTATGATTTGTCTTACTACAGCACTAGAAGTGGCACTGGGGAGGCAGAAAGCCTTGGGGACAGGCCTGGGGCATGGCCCGCATTGCACAGTCTAAAGGACACCTCTGCATCTCCACTCCACTGGTCCTGAATCTAACAGGCTGCGTGTATCTGCAACAGAAGGATAACAGCAACAACAGTCATAATACCTGACCAGGAGCTTGGAAAGGCAACGGCTCAGACTGCAGCTTCGCAAGAAGGAAATAGCGGAGTCTGGAATTTGGAATGCCGAGCTACAAAGAGAGCAGGCAGTTAGTCACTACAAAGAACCCAGGGCGCTAGGTCACCACGGAGAATCTCGGAGACATACGGCAGGTGCACACTGAGCATCTGCCAAAGAAAATGCTGGTGGAGTTTGTAGAAAACTTCTTTGAAATCTTTTAAACTGCTTTTTGACTTTTATTTACTTTTAAACTGCTTTTTATTTTTATTTGAAAGAACTGAAGATTCAGTCCGATGAATGATAAGATTATAGTTCTTTTCTATTTCCCAGGTAACAAGTACTTAGATATCATTATATCAATTATTATCATGTAGTAATCATAAAAATTCAAGTAGAGTTATACTTACTACCTCATTTTTAAAAAGGAGAATTGATTCACTAAATTTTAGATATGAAATTTACAGAGTTTAAACATTTAATTTTTGATGTAAACAGCTCTCAAGTCAGAATTTAAAATATGGCTACAGATAAGAGACTTTGTATAATGACAAAAGAAAAATTAAACAGTGATACTTGTATAGCTAAGATCTACCAAATACCTTATCATCACCAGCTCCATTTATATCCACTATATCCAAAATATAGAAACAATGTTAACATTTTAATAGTATGTCTAAAATATGTAGTCAGAAATTTATCATATAGTTGTTTTCTACTTGGGGTTATTTTGAAGCATTACTAACTTACAGCATACCTAGTTTATAAATACCAAACACCACATATCTTTAACAAACACATTACCTTCTATCTTCTGAATGGAACAAAACCATATTCTCATGCATTAGAAAATATATTTCAAACAATAACTTTTTCCCATAAAATTATAAATACATCTATATGCCTGTAACTACCTTTTATAAAGAACTATGTGAAAATTAATTTCAGGATTCAGCAATAATATCACCCAATATACAATCTCTTTTATTGAATCAAACTTCCTCTAGGAAAATACACATGTAATAGTTTACAGTTCTGGTACCTACAGAGGTTGGAGATAACAGAAATTCTTGGTACTGAAAGCCACAATTTTCTATTGTTTGTATTAACAGGTCTCTGAAAAGACAAAAACCAAAAGAAAAAAGAAAATCTTTCCTCTATAGTAGAAACAGGGTTGTTATAGAAATACTAATGGAAAACTTCATTTTAAGATAAAATTATACCTCCACTCAAGCTGTCTAAAAAGAGTGACCTTAGATCTACATATTAAATTCAATACTTCTGATATATTTCTCAAAAAGAGGTATAAATAAATATTATAAATAAATGTTTATAAAAATAAATGTTATAAATAAATAAAGCTACCAGATAATTTATTCTAGCTGGTAGGGCTAGAACTGTCTATTCGCTGCTAACCAATCTGCTATGGGGATGCACTAACTCCATATCAGATCAGAGGAGGGGAACCCTGACGACAAGAACAGAAAAATGAAGGCCTCCTGTGCTTACTCTCTGGCTGGATCACTCCTGAAAGGGCCTTTCTTCCCTCCCAGTGTCGGCAGGCTAGGAGTATCTGTCAGCAGGATCGGTTCTACTAAAGCATTCCTATGTCTAAGGAAAAGGGCACTGGTTTAAGTCACTACAATTTTTTTAAGAGATATTCTTATTCTGAAAAGAAACCTCCAACATCAGAGCCAGTAAAAATCAGCCAAAGCTCATAGTGATACTTTAAATTATTACTTAGCATAAGTATTGATGAACAAAATGTACAACATGTGTGCCAGAATGGGCATGCTTGTTTTAAGACATTTATTTCGTAGAAGCTTCTACTACAAAATTTAAGATGGTTATAAGACAAATGCATATTTTTGTTTTTACCTTGTAGAAGATACTTCAAAACCTTTAACATTTTCTAAAAGAATATACTTCGGCAGTTTTTTTAACCTAAAACAGAAGTCATTTTCATTACTAAAAGAATAGATGTAGCAGTTAAAAAGAAAAATTGCTTTCTTAACTTTTTTATAAAAGAATATCATAAGATAAAGACTCATTTTACCATTTCCCTCCCACCCCCATAAATATGGTGCAACTAATAAAAGGATGGCTGGAAAACGCTGATTTCCCCTGAACTCTGTCTTTCAAACAATGTTTCACACAGAGAACACTGAACTGAACATTCTACAGATTCAGCAGTCACTGTCCTCCCTTTGTTCATCAATTTGCTCCAGTGGGCCCAATAACATTGTGAGACTTGTTACTGTGTTTGGCATATCGAATACGTCACGGGTAGCTTGCCAGGCTTTGCCATGCAGGTGAGATACTCTTGTAGCTTGCCGGGCTCTCCGAAAGGGGCGGAGGAATCGAACCTGGATTGACCACATGCGAGGCAAACGCCCTACCCGCTGTGCTATCGCTTCAGATTCAAAGATTTAAATTTAAGGTAAGCTCCAGAGAGAGAGAAGAGAAGCTAAGGCACTTGCCTTGCATGTGGCCAATCTGGTTCCATCCCTAGCACCACCACACAGGGTTTCCAAGCACCAGCAGGAGTGACCCCCGTGCACAGAGCCAGGAGTAAGCTCTCAGCACCACTGGGTGTGGCCCAGAGCCCAGACTCCCTGTCCGCCCCAGATAATAATACCAATTTAAGGTAGGCCTGAATAGAAAACTAAGGTTTTACCTTGGGAGAATATCTAAAAAGTATAAGAAACTCTTTGTCCTTGGATCAGTCACATCACCTTGCAGGCCAATTCTAGAGGAATTAAAAAAAAAGCATAAGTGATTCTATCAAAAATCATACCTACAGATCAATTTTAAAAAGTCAAAATTGATAAAAATTAAAATAAATTGGTCTCACATAGAAATAATACCATTTTGCTAAAGATACCAAAATTCCATTTAATTCAAAATAAAAAATATTGTCTATCTAATAAAGAAACTTAAAATTTTTTTTAAATGGGTCAATTAACTTTGTTGAGGCAAAGAATAACAACAAGCCTTTTAAAATAAAATAAATCACCCCCTCACAATCACTTGGTTTAGGAAACACACACACACACACACACACACACACATTGAAAACACCTTTTATTATTCTCCAAATGAGCCAATAAAAGTTAAGATGAATAAGCTATTTTTTTTGAAAAGTTAAACTGACAGTAGCTTGTAGCTTAATAAAAATTATTTAAAAAAGAAAATAAAAAATCCAAGCTCTAAAACTGCAGCTATAGAACTTCAAAGTGTCCATGTTCAAAACTATGGCATGGTTTGATTTAATGAGTCCTTTAGAAGTCTTCCTCCTTCACAGAGCAACATTTGGAATACGTACCTGGTGAATGGTTGGCAGGGTGGACTCATTAAAACCATATTGAAAGAGAATCTGTCAAACTCTTCTAGTGTAATGCCCTAGGAAATAAACATTTGGAGAAAATGCATCAAAACACGTATTGAATGGGGAAGAATAAAAATACTAGCAATTATAATTACGCATACCCAAAACTGTAAGATTACATAAGACAGTAATTCTCAAATCAATTTCAATTAAACTAACTTTCCAAAGCCACATTGTGAGGAAGAAGAGCAGTACATTAAAGCTAGGAAAAATGAAGTGAGGGGGCCTGAGAGATAGCACAGTGGGGAGGGCACTTGCCTTACAAGTAGCTGACCCAGGTTCGATCACCAGCATCCCATATGGCCCCTGGAGCACAGCCAGGAGTGATTCCTGAGTGCAGAGCCAGGAGTAAACCCTGAGCACCACCGGGTACAGCCCAAAAAGCAAAAGTAGAAAAAGAAAATGTAAGTGACTTCCTCCCAGCCCAGAGCCTTCTGAGGCAAAGCTGGAATGCGAGTTTCCTGGACCCACACTCCATACTCCAAGTCCAGTGCTGCTGGCCTTTCTGGAGTCAAACGCAGGCTTCATTTTCTGATCATTGATTCCTAGCATCAAATGTGAAAAAACTTTAAATGCCTCTCGATCCACTGCATTTTTGTATCAGACGTGAGTATGAAGCGGCCACCATCCCTTTGGGGCGAGTCTGTTAATAAATCACCGAACGAAGAAAAGTCTCGGTTTCTGGCCCCTACCATTATTGTATTATCTCACTGCTGTGTGCTGTCAAAACACTGCAAAAGACTGTGTGTAAGATTAATTGAAGTAACCCCTATTGTACTAAGAAGTTGAAAAGTGTGCTGGTTGGGTCCTATTTTGAACAGAAGTCAGAGAAATCTCCGTCCCAGCTAGCCAATTCCCATTCTGGCAGATGTTTCAGTCAGTAGATGACTGAAATTATTTATTTGACAAGCTGTTTTGAATTAAGAGTTAAGAATTAAGAGTTTGAATTAAGAGTTTGAATTAAGAGTTCAGCACACATGGATAATCAGATATGTAAAGCAACACAGCCAGAATCACCACCTTCCTGATTAGGACACACTTCCAAGTTCACAGAGAAGGGTTTTTTTCTGAGTTATATCACATCTGTGGTCTCCTGTGTAGTAAAATTTGGAATTATATGATTCATTACTTTAAAACCACATACTTGTGGGGCCAAAGACTTAGAACAGCAGATAGGATGCTTAACTGGCACACAAACACCCCAGGTTCAATCCCCAGTATCCATATGGTTCCCTGAACCCTGCCAGGAGGGACCCCTGAACAGAGGCAGTAAGCCCTGAGCAGAGGGCGTGACCCAAAATTCATATAAAACAAGCCACATAGTTTTAAGACAAGAAGTTTGTAAATCAAAATCAAGATTAAATATTGAGCAACTTCCTTGGGAACTTTCTGGAAGCCTGGGTAATAACAAAAACAGTTTGAAAAGAGCTCGTAAAACAACTAATTTCAGTCATCTACTGACTGAAGCTTCTGCCAGAAACCACCAGGCAGGGCAGTACAACCCGACACACATCACATTCAGCCAACTGGCTATCACAGGCCTGTTAAGATAAGTTGCTTATTTGGACAATCTTTCTCTCCATTTTGACTGCACAGGTATTACTCTAAAATATTATATGTTCCAGGTGACCACTGTGCTAAATGTATAAGGCCTTTATCTTTACAAGTGAAAAAGCTCATTTTATATGAGAATGGCTATGATGAGTAAAACTGATTGAAATGATTTTTCTTGTTCTAGGAAACAATATGCAACTACATAGATTAAATGGCATGTGACTTTGAAATGAGACAGAATGAGTGTTATTCTTTTATGAAATCACAAAAGGCTAATTTGATTACAAACATTCCACATATAAAAATAACATTTTCTTTCCAAAGCACTGTATAAATTCAACGCGATCCCTATTAAGATACCAATGACATTCTTCAAAGAAATGGAGCAAACACTCCTGAGATTTATTGGAACAATAAGCCCCCACGAATAGCTAAAGCAATTCTTGGGTAAAAAGAAAATGGGAGGAATCAACCTCCCTAACTTCAAACTCTACTACAAAGCAGTAATAATTAAAACAGCATGGTACTGGAACAAAGGCAGAGCTGTAGACCAATGGAACAGGGTTGAATATACTGACGTCCCACCCTCAAGCATACAAGCATCTAATCTTCGATAAGGGGGCAAAAAAAGTGAAGTGGAGCAAGGAAAGCCTCTTTAACAAATTGTGCTGTCAAAACTGGACAATTACATGCAAAAAAAGCCAGATCTCTGCCTAACACTATGTACAAAAGTAAGATCATAATGGATTAAAGACCTCAACATTAGACCGGAATCCATAAGGTATATTGAAGACAAAGTTGGCAAAACCCTCCATGACATTGAAGCTAATGGTATCAGATGTCACGCCACTGGCCAAGCAAGTGAAAACAGAGATAGACAAATGGGACTATCTTAAACTAAGAAGCTTCTGCACCTCCAGAGAAACAGTGACCAAAATACAAAGACAGTCTACAGAATGGGAAAGGATATTCAGCCAATACACATCTGACAAGGGGTTGATATCAAGGATATACAAGGTACTGGTTGAACTCCACAAGAAGAAAACATCCAACCCCATCAAAAAATGGGGAAATGAAATGAATAGAAACTTTCACAAGGAAGAAATCCGAATGGCTAAAAAGCACATGAGAAACTGCTCCACATCATCAATCATCAGGGAGATGCAGATCAAAACCACAATGAGATATCATTTCACACCACAGAGACTGGCCCATATCCACAAAAACAAAAGCAACTGGTGCTGGCGAGGACGTGGCAAGAAAGGGACCCTCCTTCACTGCTGGTGAGAATGCTGACTGGTTCAGCCCTTTTGGAAAACGGTATGGACGATTCTCAAAAAATTAGAAATTGAGCTCCCATTTGACCCAGCAATACCACTCCTGGGAATATATCCCAGAGAGGCAAAAAAGTACAGTCGAAGTGACATCTGCAATTGTTTGTTCATTGCAGCACTCTTTACAATAGCCAGAATCTGGAAAAAAACCTGAGTGCCCAAGAACAGATGACTGGTTAAAGAAACTTCGGTACATTTACACAGTGGAGTACTACGTAACTGTTAGAAAAGACTAAGTCATGAAATTTACATACAAGTGGTACTACATGGAAAGTATCATGTTAAGCGAAATAACTCAGAAAGAAAGGGATAGACATAGAAAGATTACATTCATCTGGGGAACATAAAGTAACAAAATAGGAGACTAACACACAAGAATGGCCAAGATTAGTACCAGGAATTTTACTCCATGGCTTGGAGGCCAACCACATATGCTAGGGGGAAAAGGAGCTCAGATAGAGAAAGGAACACCAAATAAAGGGTGTTGAGAGGATCCTCCCAGGATGGGAGAAGCATGCTGAAAGTAGACTATAGACCAAACATGATTGTCACCCATTGCCTCTTTTGCAAACCATAACACCCAATAAGAGAAAGACAACAAAAGGGAATGCCCTGCCACAGAGGCAGGGTGGGATGGGGGTGAGGGGGGTGTGAAGGATACTGGGATCTGTGGTGGTGGGAAATGGGCACGGGTGGAGGGATGGGTATTTGATCACTGTATAATTGAAACCCAAAAATTTGTAAGTCTACAACTGTACCTCATGATGTCTAATAAAAATTTAAAAAAAGGAAAGAAAAAAAACTGATGATACTGGAAAAAAAATAACATTTTCTTAAAAAAAAGATAAGTTACTTATTTGGGCTTTAGGCTTTAAGTGTGAGTTCTGGAGTCGGTCATCTTTTAAAGAATGTTGGCTATTTGTTCTCAGAGGCAATTAATTTCAAAGTAGCTTGACTCTTTGGATTTTTGTTTCTGACTTTCTTCTTTTTTTAATTTTATTTTTTGGTGGGGGGATGGGCGGGCGTTCAGCCATACCCGATGGCTCTGCGCTCAGAGTCACTCCTGGTAATGCTCTGGGGACTAAATACAGTGCCAGGGATCAAACCAGGGTAGGCCACATGCAAGGCTAGCACCTCACCCCTGTACTGTCTCTCCAGCCCTAATAAATAATTCCTATAATGATGAGAATCAGAATCATGTGGCTCCTAATGGGAAGAGAAAAGGGGGAAAAAAATGAAACTTCAATAGAAACAAGCCCAGCACTGAGATGATGGAATTAGCAATGATTTTATAAGTGATTATGCATATTAAAAATTATTTAAAGACCTAGAAAAGCACAAAAGCATGAGACAAATTAAAGACAGAAAAATAACAAATTTGGGAACTAGAGAGATCAGACATCGGGGCAGGCATTTGCCTTGCACATGGCCAACCCAGGTTCGGTCCCTAGCATTTCATATGGTTCCCTGAGCACCGCCAGGAATAATTCCTGAGGACAGAGTCAGGAGTAAATCTCTGAGCACTGCTAGGTGTGGCCCAAAAACCAAAAACCAAAAACAAAACCAACGCATTTCTAGAGATAAAAAATATCTAAGTGAAAAGTATACACTGAAAAAGTTGATATTCTGAAGATACAGCAATACAATTCATCCTCAAAATAAAGTACACAGAGAAACAGACTGAAAAGAAGGAATCTAAAATATGTATAATTTGGAGATAAGTAAAGATAAGGAATAGAGAAACCGTTTAAAGCTATAATGGTTTCTAAAACTACAAATGGCTTCCAAAACTACAAATAAGCACAAAAATCCAAGTGTTATCAAGTAAAATGTACAAAAGCACATTGAAACAAAATTCAAAAAAAGATAAATCTCAATTACAGCTACAGAAATAACTCAGTAAGACAAACAAAGATAAGAATTATTACAGACTTTTAGTCAGAACTGGGCTGGAACGATAGCACAGTGGGTAGGCCTTGCAAGCGGCCAACATGGCCAACCCAAGTTCGATTCCTCGGCCCCTCTCAGAGAGCCTGGCAAGCTACCAAGAGTATCTCGCCCGCACAGCAAAGCCTGGCAAGCTACCCATAATGTATTTGATATGCCAAACACAGTAACAATTGTCACAATGGAGACGTTACTGGGCCTACTCGAGCAAACTGATGAACAATGGGAGGACAGTGACAGTGACAGTGACAGTCAGAATTAAGAGTTTTCCTCCTCCCTTAACCAACAATAGTAAAAACTGGAAAAAAAAAATTAAGGACCCAAGAGACAGTACTGGGGTTAAGGCATTTTCCTGGCATGTAGCCAACCTGAGCACCATAATGCACAGTCCAACCCCCTCCCCAAAATTAATTCAAAGACTCTCAGGGAAATACCTTTCAAAAATGAATATAACCACAGATTTAATAATAATTACATTTCAAAGTGAAGACAAAATAGTTTTCTACTTAAAAAGTGTTGGTATAATGTCATCTGCCAAATGTCCGTGAAAAGAGATGTGAAAAAAAATAGGTGTTGAGTTAACGTGTAGTAGTCAAATACCTGAGAGGATGATGAAAATAAGAGTTTACTGGCAGGGGAGTGGAGCAGCAATAGCACAGCAGGTAGGGCGTTTTCCTTGAACTCGGCCAACCCAGGTTAGATTCCCAGCGTCCCATATGTTCCCCCAGCACTGGCAAGAGTAATTCCTGAGTGCAGGACCAGAAGTAACCCCTGTGCATCACTGGGTGTGACCCCTCCCCCCCGCAAAAAAAAAGTTTACTGGAAGGTGACACCCTTACGCTAAAGATGAAGCCTGCGTTCTCTCTTCAACATGACCCTCCTCCTCTTCCCTCACATCTCTCTAAACTTCTTTCATAAAAGCCTTTATATTTCACTGGAGGGAGGAAAAAAAATTCTTTAAAGTAAAGAATTTATCAAATTTCGTGTCCCAGACGCATTTAAAAGTCAAGCATATTGTTAGGTTTCAATCCTTTCTTGGAGGCCAAATATTTTCAATCATGCTCAGTCTGCCGGATACTTATCAAAGCAGTAATAGTGAGTACTCACTTCAATTGTCTTGGCCAGCAACTGTGTGTGAGGAAAATTGTACTTGTACACCTCGTTAGCAACAGTGTTCACGTCCACAGCCGCCACCACCTGTGCAGGGATACCGCTTTCTGCAAGGAACAGAACACCCAACATCAGCTCCCATCACCAATCTGTGCATGCGAGAGAGAAATCCCCACCTCCACGGCAGACTCCCATGGACAAAGACAGAGGTCAGGGAGTTGGACACCAAATTAAATATTTACACACTCAGGACTCTCTTTCCAGGACATTTCAATGTTCAAAACAAAATGTAAATACTTCAGTCACTCTCTCTGATAATGTGCTTTCCTCCTCCCTTAAGCTATATTTGACCAGCTAAATAGAAAGTTTTCTTAAAATAAAACAAATGCAAAGGAAACAAAGTAACAAGAAATAACTGACTTGGAATTTAATGCAGATAAACTACAATTTGTTCCTTACCTCTAACATTAACAAAGAGCAAATTTCAATACTATTAAAAATGTTTTCAGGAAAATTTTGGTTATGTTTTAGGAGTGCTTTTTTTTTTCCTTAATTCATGTTATTAAGATACAACTCACATCCCACAAACTTCACTTAAGGTTTTAGAAAGCTTTTCAAGCAGATAAACAACCCATGAAGACAGAGACCTGCCTTCACTGCCGGGCTCTCTTGGTGCTGCAGAAACACATTTCTGAAATTCTTTCAGATACAGGAAATCTTGCCAGTCTTTATGAAAGGTCAACAAAATTGAACCATTTATGTGTTGTACCAGGTATACTATTCTTGTATCTTACACTTAGCACTTCTCAGCACTTCCCCGTAATACAAACCCAGTGGTATGCAGGACTTCCCAAATCAGGGAACAATGTTAGGAGTTTTAAAAGCAAAAGTAAAAGTACTTGAAACTTCTTTAGAAACTCTTTAGGAGAAACAAAAAAACCATGCATGATTATGTTATAGCTCAAAATAGCTATTTTCTGCCAATAGATTTGCTGTCAATAGCTCAAGGGGTGGGGGGTGGAGAGAGAGAGAGAGAGAGAGAGAGAGAGAGAGAGAGAGAAGAAAAGTCCCTGCCATAGAGGGGTGGCAGGTAGGAAACTGGGGACACTGTTGGTGGAAAATGTACACTGGTAAAGGGAAGGGTGTTAGAACATGGTGTGACTGAAACCTAATTATAGACAACTTTGTAACTGTATATCTCACTTAATTCAATTTAAAAAGGGGGGGGGGGAATAGCTCAAGTACCCTAAATATACAAATGGTAAAAGGTAAAGGTAAAGGCCCTCCCGTTGATCGTCGATTTGCTCAAGCAGGCCCAATAACATCTCCATTGGAGACTTTGTTGTTACTGTGTTTGGCATATCGAATACTCTCGGTAGCTTGCCGGGCTCTCCGAGAGGGGCGGAGGAATCGAACTCGGGTCGGCCATGTTGGCCGCTTGTAAGGTGAACGCCCTACCGCTGTGCTATCGCTCCAGCCCCAAATATACAAATAAGGGAAAGAAAAGAACAGAAAGAAAGAGAGAGAGGGAGAGAGAGGGGGAGAGAAAGGGAGAGAAAAGGGGAAAGAGAGAGGGAGGAGGAGAGAGGAGGGGGGAGAGAAAGAGAGGGAGGGGCATTAAGGCTCAGGTATTAGGACCTGGAAATAAAACGGAGTCCAAAACAGAAGGACAAGGAGAAGAGCCAGATGATCAGAAACAAGCATCAGCCACATATCTCACGGCCCAGCTGACGTGACGAGAAAGGAAGCACAGGCGCAGATGTCTCTGAGACATCAAGCTCTAAGCCAACAGTCCCCACAGACACCCTGGGGACTCAGTTCTCGCTGGCACCCTACTGCCATACTCCGTCATCGGAAATTTGGGGACATAGGTGGCATCAAACATTGCTGCTCCCTGTTGAATTTTAATTCAACTGTACCTTGTCTTACAATAAAACTGATTTTTTTTTTTATAAATTACATCTTGGGGGAAGGGATTATTTGGGTAATGCCGGCGGTGCTCAGGGTTACTCCTGGTGAGGCTCAGGGGACCCAACCATAATGGTGCTGGGGACAAACCAGAGTCAGACATGCACAAGGTGCTTAAGTACCTAAACCCCTATACTACCTCGCATCTCTATAGGCCCTAAACTCAAAGGCACCGGACACTGATCTTCAAATATTAATCACCAAGAAAAGCAATTAGTACATAAAGATCCCTTTGCAAAATCACATGCAAAGGGATAACTCAGATATCATGTGATAACTCAGGTGAAGAACCACGCTGGAGATCAGATCGAGCACAGGGCTGGGCCTCATCTCACACAGGCTGACTAAAGTTTGGCTTGATCCCCTGCACCCTGGCCGTGACCCCATCCCAGCACCTCTGGATGTGGCCCAAAACAAACAAACAAACAAGAAAACTAAGTAGTAACGACAAGTCAGAACCAAATGAGTCTCACTGAGTGATTTTTGCTGTTTTGCTTAAACAAAAGATGTCAGCATGATGTGATGTGCTAGCCCTGGCAGTAAACTGAGATTGTCTAGAATTGGTAAACATGACTTTTTTCCTTTTTCAGACTGGTTGGAAAACCACAGTGAGGGTAGAATCTGTACCATAATCGATAGCTAATTTTACATTCTGTTGTATGTGCAGGAAGACATAAAAACTGGCAAGCAGCAGCTGCCGAGAGAGTGCTTTGATAAGGCAATCTAAGAAATGATGAACTGAAAACTCTCTCAGGAAACCATGGATTTTTAAATTCAATCAACAAATGCACTCTTTCCATCAATGCTCATATGTTAAATGTTATAACATTAGGACCTGGCCTAAAAAATCATTTCCACAATGACAAAGGGATATACTAACCTATTAGTGATACTTGCATAACTTGCCTTTTTGATACAAAACTATCAGGGAATATAGCTATAATTTTATGTAAAAATATTTAAAGATAATTTTAATAAGCAAGTCTGTCAAATCTATCAAAATCCTAACTTGAGCACAAAACATAAGTATACAGTTGAAAATATCGATACTTTTTCATCCAGAGCCTCCAAAAATCACTGGTAAACTGCATGCACAGATTTTGAAAATGTTTCACCTAGAACATAAAAGTGAATATAATTCACCAGAATTGCCCCTCCATGAGCTCTTACACTGATCGCTCCAAGCAGTCTCTCCAACAGGAGAGAGAGGTGAGGAAAGGGAGCCATCAGTGTCCTTCCAGGGACCAGGGGGAAAGCTTGGATTATAGCTTTACTGGGGGTTATTCCTGTCATTTCAGTTATGATTCCAGGCCATTGCAAGGGACAGAGAAGGTGAGAAAAATGCAATACCAATATTCTTAAGGATGGTCAGGCTGGGAGAAAGATATTGCGGGGGGGAGGTGAAGGCTTCTGACTGGCACTCAGCCAATCCCATTCCATCAGCAGCATCACTTATGGTCCCCTAAGGACTTCCAGGCACTGGACCAAGAGTCTGTGAGCACCAGTCCTGAGCACCAGTGGGTATGGCCCCCAAATCATACATAAATAAGTAAACAAATAAATGGAGAGTCAGATCAGATCTACAAGACAAAGATGACAGAAATTACACTCCTGTCTATACGAAGACCAAACTACAGAAGACAATTTAGTCATATCTACAGACTTTATTTGTCAGAAATAGCACTGACGTGTATCATTTCAGCTTTCAAATACATTTTGTATAAGAATAGGCAAGACACACACCTCTTGAAGAGCATCCTTTTTCCCTCTTCTGATTACTCTTTCTGAGAGAGGTGCAGGGAAGACAAGCCAATTAGAAGCAGTGAAAAATGCTAGTTCACACTCGCCCGGCTTTCCCAACCAAGCAGAACCAAGTTTAATTGTTCATGCATAATCATTAAGGCAGAGTGGAAAATCAAATTTTTTAAAAATTCAAATACAGAATCAACTAGCCCACTCTGAATGGGAGTGGCTTATTTTTTTCCCTTCTCTGTCACTGAGTTTCTAACCGTATTTCAGGTAGGTGAGTAATGCTTCGAATTACTTCATTATACCTGTACTTGAGACATCTAACCAGGTATATTAACACTGACATCTAGTTGTGAAATGGGAAATCAACTGAAGACAGTCAAATCTCTTACCCTTTTATTCCAAGTGATAGCTCAAGGGGGAATGGAAATAACTAGCCGCCTGCCAGGATTCTGTCAATATTAGCAAGGTGCGTTTCTTTTATTTTAAAGATTCCTGCACAGGGTTAGTTCCTGAGAATTGGAACTGGAAGAAGCTTTTTGCTTCTCAATTAATCCAGTCACCATAACAGCCCTGATGCCATGCCACGTCTATACCTACTTTATGTGAGAAACATTATCTATTTTAGATGCTTCTATTCTTGATATGAGCCTAACCCTAACTGACACTTCCATTTGGATGTTGAGTGTGTGTGTGTGTGTGTGTGTGTGTGTGTTGTGCGTACACGTAATAAAAATTACTTTAGGTCTGTTACCTATTTATGGAGCACTGTCCTCCCGTTGTTCATCAATTTGCTCGAGTGGACCCAGTAACATCTCCATTGTGAGACTTGTTGTTACTGTGTTACCTATTTACATGGAAAATTTAATTCAATCAACATTTACTATTTGTGGCAATAGCCTCTCCCTGGGTAAATGAAGAGTCAATATTTATGGAGACTAGGAGATTTTCAAAACTAAACTCTCCTTGTTTCCCCCCCAGTGGACATGAATTCCACATTTATGATCAAAGGTGAACTTTTCCTGAAAGTTTCATTATGACCTTTTACCAAGGAATGACTTTCTTCATTACTTTATTTAAAAAGTAATCTGTAATCTGTATTTGTATCAGAGTTTGCTTGAGGAGAAAAGGCTTGGACCCAAGACTTGAGGAAATATAAAAAGTAGGGGAGTCCGGGAATACTTCAGCAGATGCACACCCACCTGGCCGGCAGGAAGCCACAAGCTCAATCCTCCACATATTAAGCACGATCCTGGTGGGATGGGGGTGCCGTAGCAGTACTGGGTCTCCAGCCCAGCATGGCTGCATGCAAATGCCCTCTCTGACAGTGTCTTTCCTGGCAACAGTTCCAGGTCTTCTCTGGGGGACTCTTACGTCCCTCAATTTTCTT